TTGAAATGATCCCTTCAAAAGTGTTATGGATAAAATATGGTTGAAAGGTGGCATCGGTGGGCTGCTTAAAGATGAGAAAGGTGTGGTGTTGGGTTCGTTCTCAGAGAGAGTTTGTTATAGCTCTCCAATTCTGGCATAATTGATGGAAATTATGAGAGGGTTGAAGCTTTTCTTGGAGTAGGAGATGTTAGCGAATCGAAAGCTTATTTTAGAATCTTATAGTATTGTGGTTGTGGATTGGATCAATAATCATGCTGCCACCACCCCATTGTTCTTGTCTATAGTTAAAAATATCGCCTCAATTATGGTTGATAAAGGTGTTATTGTTAGGCATGTGTTGAGAGCAGTTAACTGAAAGCGGATGAATTTGCTAAGCTAGGGATAGGCTAATTGGTTGGGATAAATTTGTTGCATTGAGTTTGTTGTATTTGGGGAAGTTTTGGTTATATTTTCCAATTGTGTTATGCTTGCGTTTGGTTGCTTGTTTTTAGGATAAAGTTTTCTTGAGTTGGGTTTTGTCATTGTTTTGTTCATGTTGTTTAATGTTGATCATTGCAGAGGAGGTAGTCAGGTTGTGTTTGGTGGTATTGTACTGTTTTTGTACTTGGTATTTATGCAATAAAATTTTGAGGAAATGATTCCATTGAGTTTGTTTGTCCTAAAATTTTCAAATTAAAGAGAAAAGCTAAATTCAATTCAAAAACGAAATCAACAATGTTAAAGAACAATAATAAAATGAAAATTGAAGTAACGAAAAGATATCAAAGTAGTTATTGCAACAACAAAGAAGGTGCAACAATCATAAAAAATAAACAGTCACAATAGAAAACAATGTTCAATTTGACTGCATTTCCATTTTCTAAGCAATCAAATCAAGAAGCATACCCGAATTTAAGAAATGATGAGTTAGAAATTGCATATGTAAAAGAAATGATTACCAGACAGATACGGACGAAGCCAGGAATTGAAGAGTTGAATAAGAAAAAAGATTTTGATAACCATAACGAAGAGTTGAACGGAAATCAAAAACCCTAAATCATTCTTTATGTAATCTTCAAAAGACAAGATGAAAACAATAAAATAATGATAAAAAAAACTATGTGAGGAAAGAAAAAAAATGAGGATGGGGAGTGGTTGGGTAGGAAAAAAGATACTTAAAGAGGAAATTTTGGCATTGGGTCTCTTTACTCTTTTTTGATTAGTTATATGGTAACATTTACCAAATTAAATAAAATCTTAATACCAAAATAAGTGCCTAAACTATACTGTTTTTCTCAAATATGTGTATAAACTATTTTTTGACTCATTATGGTGCCTAACGTTTAGGGATGGCAAAAAAATCTGAACCCGACGGGAAAAACCGAAAACCGAATTAAACGGGGATGGGGAAAAATTGTTTATGCTAAACGGGGACGGGGATGGAGAAAAACCGTTTATGCTAAACGGGGACGGGTTTGGTAATCCCCGCCCCGATTACCCGATTACCCGCCCCGATACCCGACCCGATAAATATTAAAAATAATTATTTTATATATATATAATATTAATAAATTTCATTTTAATTAATATATATATAATATTTATAAATTTAATTTAAATATATATATACTCGGCCCGATACTCGACCCGATACCCGTTTAAATAACCGTTTATGCTAAACGGGAATATCCGTTTCCCCGTGGTTTTCCCCGATTACCCGATGGGGATCCCCGTTTAAATCCCCACAATTTTTTAAGCGGGGACGGGTATGAGTTTTTTAAACGGGGACGGGGGGACTAATACCCGGCCCGAACCCGACCCGTTGCCATCCCTACTAACTTTACAAATGTTACCTATTTAGGTGTCTGGGCTGTCAATGGCGTTTATAAAAAAAACACCAACTTTTCTTATGTTATAAAACAACCCCAAAATCCTAAATCCTAACCTTAATTCATCGATGCCACCCTTTCCAGCCATGATCACTGCCACCGACATAGTCCCTACCATCATTCTTCTCATATGTTGTCCTAGGGTTCGCGGGGTATAAAACATCGATTCATCGTCGATCGACCGATCATGATTTCATGGGGATTTTGGTCGCCATGGAGGGGAGGTCGGGTGGAGTTTTGTCGACAGCAAAAGGCGGCGACCGACGTGGTTTTAGGGGTTGAAATGAAGGTTTCCAAAATTTTGGGTTTATTTTAAAATTTATGTTTTTTAAAAAATATATATATATAATTTTAATTGTTTGATTTTTTAAAATTACCCGGTAGCAACACATGTCACTTAACGAAGAAATTAACACCGTTGACGGATCTGGCTCCTAAATGGGTAACGTTTGTAACGTTAGACACCAGGATGAGTCAAAAAATAGTTTAGGAACCTATTTAGGAAATGAGTATAGTTTAGGCACTTATTTTGGTATTATGCCTAAAGGTTTCCGGTAGGAACGAGCACAGTAAAGGCATCCATACGCCATGGGTCCTGAAACACACACACATAAAAAAAACTAAAGAAAATTGATCGAGGAAACATGGGTAAAATGTGACGGTAAAATTTGGGGGAAATCGAATGAAATAAAAAAGAATGAGATGAAAACCTAAAACAGGGCCACGGCCGCCTTCATCGATGCCCATAATGCAAGGAGAAGATGCCCATCTTGGGAGAGGAGCTTCCGACCCCATTTATCTATTCTTATTCCTCAAACACTGAATCACTCGAACGCCATGGCCGCAGCTGCTGCCGCAATTTAAAGACTTTTTTTTTGTATTACTATTATTCTCTCGAGTTTCCCGCCATTGCACTAAAGAATATTATCGATATTCGTGGATTCATACACATTTCTACATCCACATTAGTAGATGTAAATTTTGAGATTTTTTTATTTGAATTTTCATAATTCGCATGATTTCATCAAATAACTTGAATTCAGGGATAGCTTTGCGAACACACTCTTATTACTGAGCTTTATCATAATTCTCAAATAATTATTTGTATAATTTAATGGCCGAACAACTAAAGCCTTTACTGTTAAATACATACTACTATTTTCAAATACCAACACAATTTGAGTAATATTATGTTAACCATTTTTTAAAAAAAATATTATTTCTTATATTTTTCAAAAATAATATTTTAGTTCTGTCATTCACTATCATGAGAACACAGTGTGTAAAATCATATGCAATGCATATTATATTAGAAACTAGTGACGGCAAAATAATCAAGAAACGTATTAAAAAACCATATATTAATAATTTAAATTTAGAATCAAAAGGCCTATTAGCTCAGTTGGTTAGAGCGTCGTGCTAATAACGCGAAGGTCGCAGGTTCGAAACCTGCATGGGCCATTTTATTTTATGCTGTTTCTTAAAGAAACGGTGCCGTTTAATTATTTGTTAAGGAGACTTATCTAAACTGCATTATAACGCAAACGCCGTCACTGTGGGTTACCACATTTAGAGAAGCCACACTCGCTCAATTTAGTCCTAATCATATTTAATTTAAAAAAATTTCTTCCATCTATAATTATAAAGCAAAAAAACTCCTTTTTTATTTTCAAGATTAAAAAGAATATTGTTTTGATTAATTTTAATCCACAATAAAATTTTATTAAAAAGATTGGCAACTATCCCTCTTAATATTTTTTAAAATTTTGTTTGACGATCTTAAAATTATTATGACATCTTTTATTCGACCGTACTTCGGATTGAATAAGCGAAGTTACATTTATTATTACAAAACATTAATATAAAAAACATTAGCTTTAATATATAAAAAACATTAGGTTTAGAAGCTTTGAAAAAATATTTTTAGTATTTTTCTAGCAAAAGTATTAAAGTTAGATTAAAAAATTTGAAAGTTTTAAGAAGTTTTGATAGGTCTAAATTAATTTTTTTTTAATTGTTGGTCAATTGACATTTGATTTGATTCAAATTTGTAATTCGATCCCTACAATTTACAAATTTATCGATTGGCCTTTTTCAGATTTAATTAATCTGACTTTTTTTCATTTTTTTTTATGGATAAGTGAATTTCAACTAATTTATAGTTATTCTGGTTATTATTATGACATCTTTTATTCGATTATATTGACTAAGTAAGAGACATTAAAATAACTATAAAATTATATAAAATATAAGAAATACTTTTTTTAATTTTTATTTTTAAATTTTCATAGTTTGAATAATTTCACCAAATAACTTTATTCGATAATAGCTTTCCAAACACACACTTATTACTGATCTTTATCATAATTCTCAATTATTTATTTGTATAATTCAATAGTCGAACAAATTAAAACATTTACTATTATATATATATATATATATATATATATATATATTATTTTCACATATCAATATTTTGTTAATCATTTTTGGAAAAAATATATATTTTAGTTCTGTAATTCACTACCATCAGAACACTGTGTCTAAAATCATATGCAATGCATATTACATTAAATATTGCAAAATTATCAAATAAAAGTTCTTTGTTAAGGTAACAAAGAAAATATAATTGAAATTGCTTCAATTAAATAGCACATACTCAAACTAGAGTCAATTTTAAATCAAATTCAAGAGAAAACATTAATTCATATATAGTATTCTGTTTTCATATTTAATTTTCTCACTCTTAATTAACAAAATATATAATGGATGATATAAATAGAAATTTATTAATATATTAATTTTGAATTAGCCCCAATGACTCAAAATAAAATAAAAAATTAAATCAATCCTTTTTCAAATTGAATCAAGTTTTACTCACCCTAACGGCACATCTTCAGTTTCATTAACAATTTAATGAGGGTTGCCAAAACCAAAACAATAATAAATGTTGGTGACGAAATTAAATATTCTCGTAGTTCAAGGACTAAAACAGAAACATGCTAATAGTTGGATGACTAATTGTATGGTTTACCTAGATATTGTTATAAACTTTGATATAATATAATTAAAAAACACTAGTTAAGGATCACCAACAAGACTAGCTAGTTTAAATACAAATCCTTCATCACTCAAACTTCATGATCATTCATTGAACAAATTTTTATGCATCCACATCGTGGGTCTAACATAAGCTAATGTGCAATACATAATTGACTTTTTCATAGGACAGCCAAGTCAATCACCCCACAGCTATAAATACTCTCGTTTATGAAGCGTATACAGTTATTTAAATTAGCCTAGTTTCCCTTCCAACCCCCAAGCTGATCGATCCTACACAAAAGGGGCCGTCGATAGTCTTTTGAGGTCATCATTTTACCCTAAGGACAGAGTGAGAAGAGATGATTAAGCTTTCAACTACTCAAACTTACCAGCTAATGCATCCTCCTCCTCATCTTCACCATCTAATTCTTGCTCTACACCCTTCACCTGTATCAAGATGTTAACCAATTAGAAATGACGCTGAGTTCTAGATTCCCCGACAAAAAACAAGCGAGCGACATGTGGCTATCTTTGGGGAAAACGATTTGCTCAAAAATCAAAAGAATAATATAGTAAATCAATAACATATACTTTAATGTCCTAGAACAGAGCTTTGAAATGCAAGAATGGAATTGAAAGAAAAAGTCAATAGTTGGGTATCAATATTTAACTTGAAACTGAGAACGTAAATGTAATTTACAGCAGAGACACAAATGAATCCCTCAAAACAATTTTTTGCTAACTAAAAAGATACTATTTAATGAAGATGCTGCCACGACAAGAATAGACATCACAAACCATTATTATTCAGATTAAAAGGGGGGAGTTGACATGGTATAATTTGACATTTCCCTTACGTTACTATGTTAACATGCACTGCTACTTGAACTCGGTTCTGGATGTTTGATGCAAGTCTGTTTACAACACGGGTATGTTCAATTGTTTTTTCAAGTTTTCCCACATATTTGGAGGATCCTAGGAAGGTTAAATACATACATCCATGTCCGGATTAGTGTCAACACAGATGTCAGACATGGGCACTTCTAGAAAAATGAAGTGTTGGACTAACATAGAACTCACATATGCATTTTCTTGAAAGGTTTACTAGGTAGACAGTGCTAAGGCACAACCAAGGTGATTTGACCTATAAAATTTATTAATTATTAGCCAAATATATATATGTATATATGTATTAATTTTAATCATAGTAACATGAACATGCAATACCAGAAAAAATACTATCATTTTCTATTTGTTAATTCAGTACCTATTAAACACAAACAATTTGAAAACAATCACTTTCCTTTTCAAATGTCACTTTCTTATCTTATTCTCTCCATCCATATTCAAACCAAATAGATTCTAAATAAAGTATAAGGATTGTCATTGGATATTATTACCTCCGGAACATAATGCATTAGCATATTTTCAATGCCAGATTTCAAAGTGACAGACGAGCTGGGGCAACCACTGCATGCTCCTTGCATTTTCAATTTAACTATTCCTGTGTCTCTACAAATGCAAACAGGAAATGTTCAATCAATGATAATTCAAAAGGTAAATAAACAAAGTATGTTTATATATCCAAAAATTATTTAAACCAAATAAGGATAAAAGGAAGCTTACGGATCAAATCCGTAATATTCAATATCCCCACCATCATCTTGCACTGCTGGTCGGATTCGAGTCTCCAGCAATTCTTTGATCATTGCAACCGTTTCAGAGTCATCCTGCATCATACAGTAGCATTTACGTGATTGACTTGCAGATATTCGCAATTATAAGGTAGTGGTTCGATTAACAAAGATACTGAAAAAAGAAGGAAATGTCTCAAGTAGATGAAGATAAGCACATGTAAACCCTTCCAAAAATAGGAGAACTGAAGTTAGAAAAAGTACCTCACGTATAGCAGTGTCCGTGGATTTTGCAGTTTTCGAGTCTAGAAACAATGGCTGTCCTGAGGAATAAAACTCCATAATTGCAGCAAAAATTTCTGTCTTGAGGAGATCCCAAGAAGTATCATCAGACTTTGTTACAGTGATGAAATCGGATCCAAAGAAAACTCTAGTGATGCCTGCAATGCAAGAAAACAAGATTCACTTCATCCAATCACCAATCAAAATATAATTGAATATTCAATCTAAGTAATAGCAAAAAACACTTTGACAGAATCTGAAACACGGCTAATAGAAAATCGTCCAACTTTTAATTTCTAATTTAATTTCAAACTTAACTGATGGATCTCAAGAAGCTTAATTACTTCACCTATTAGAGCTTCACTGTAAGATTTAAAACCAGATTGAACAAAAGCCACTGTGACTAGGTTTCTTCATCTTCTTTCCTTCTATTTTTTTATTCTTTAGTAGGTATGAAATTGTGTCACACAATGAGAGGTAACCCTCTCTCTTCCCATAATCACTCGATATAACTAATAACCATAGTTTCATTTCTACACAGACAAAATGGCATAAATAGCGGTACAGTAGATTAGTTCTTGCAGTCTACAAACCTCACTCTCCCCTTTATTCATCAGCAACTTGATAGGCTAATAAGAAAGCTTGTTACCGTCAATTTCATACAAGGCTTTGGCCAATGGCGAATTCATCGCAGAACGAGCGTTCGGGAAATCAGTACTCCCAACTTCCATCACCGCTCTCCCTGGATAAAACATCAAAGACGAAGGATTGGGTGTTGATTGAGTTTGGATAAACATGTTTCTCCTTTGCCCTGCAACCCCAAAGGAATGTTGAAAAACCATCAGATTATTGAAAAAACAAAAATCAACCATAAAACCAAACGGTATAAAAACAAAACAAAACCAAACAGTAACCTGTAAAATGGGTCCATTTGAGGGAGAGTAAAGAAGCTGATGACCTAGAATTGGGGGAAAGGACGGAGCTCGAGTAACCGACTCCTAGAAACGACGGCGTTCTGGAAGAGAAGAAGATGAGGCGGCGAGAGATTAACGGGGAAAAGAGGACAGATCGGCATGTTTGCCGATTAGGTAGAGCGCGACGAATCAATCTTCCAACACCTTTCATGGAACCTTCTGCTTTTGTCTAACAAATAACGAAACGCGCCTTCCAATATCAATCATCTACTTTAGAATTTTCAGTCCGACGGATCTGGTCGTGATCCAAAACCATTATGGGAAAACTATACGGATAGTCCTTAAACTATTAAATAGTTTATTTGTTCACTATTTACATTTCAAATGTTATAAAACAGTCATAAATATTATTGTTTTATCATTAAGGCTTTAACCTTTACCGGCCGCCCGACCTAAATTATGCTACGCTCTTATTATCCAACATCTTTTTATTATCATCGTCGTTACTAAATACAACACGTAGTATAGTATATTCAAGAGTTTCACCATCGTTTTCTTAAGTCTCAAACACAATCAAAACTCCTGGTGCGTTTGGTTCACGGAATGTAAGATTATCAGTGAGAATAAAATATTACCAGGGAATAGGATTAATGGGAATGTTGTATTTTGTGTTTGGTTGGTTTAGCAGTAATGTAAGATTAATGTGTTTGGTTAAAGGAATAAAAGATTATTAGAATGTATATTTGACTAAATTGTCCTTATTATATATTTGTTTTTTTAACAAGCTAGAAAATATTTATATATTTTCTTTAAAAAATTTAAATTCGTAAAATTTAATTAATTTTTTTTACAAAATTGAAAATATAAAAATATTTAATGAAAGGGTAAAATTTTATTTTAACCACTCAACTTCATATAAATTTTTAATTATAACTTTTTTTTATAAATCTAAAATAGTTTAAGGATAAATTTGTAATTTAACATTCATAAAATTTTTATTATTCAATGACAGAAGAATGATATTTTTGAAAAAAAAAATTAAGGGTATTTTAGTCCAAAATACCGGTAATCCAACAATACCTAAGGGAAGGGAGGTAATGACATTCCCGATAATATACCCCAAAAAATCCACTATTAATAATAAAACATTACCGGGAATAAGATTCCCGGCCAACAAAATAAGGGAATGTGGATTCCATTCCCATGGGAATCTTACATTCCCCGAGCCAAATAGTCCGATAGATGCATGGTTTTATGTTAGGGGAGTGAATTTCTAAAATTTTAAGAAGAGACGAACATATAAAATTTCAATGAAAAAATAGATTTTTAGTAGAAAATATATAGAAAAATCTAAAATATATGGTAATTTTAAATTTTCAGGAGAGACAATTGTTCCACGTGCCTCTCGGTTTATTTAATTCCTCGTTGTCGTGAATAGCAAAATGAAGAAGTAAAGATCGAAATATATTGAAGCCAAATGAAAAGGAGATGACGATTACAATAGATAAAAGATGAGAAGAAGACTAGAATAACAAAGAGGAAGATGAGAAAAGAAGCAATTGAATGCACTCCGAACTTTCATGCCCATCCCAGGTACAACCCTCCCTTGCTATATACTCCATGAAGTATTCTGTTACTCTGCAAGCTGGCATGGCAGCAACGTATTTAGGAAGAAGCTTCTAGACTTGTAGTTGTTACAAATAATTGGCTTGTGGCCCAATGCAATAGATGAACCATTAAGACGTTGATTCACTCCCTAGTAGTGGTTTCCTTATTCACAACACTCGTTCAGGTTTAATCCAAATCTCATTTTACGTGAAAGCCTCGAAGGAAGAATCTTGAAAGGTCATATTCTCGGGAGGAGGACCTCCCAGTCGATAGTGGGCTACTTTAACTGATGTTAAGCTCAACATATCATCAAAAGTTGAGGGTCTTCTTCCTTGAAGAAAAGATAAGTTGCCAGCCTCCCTCCACCCAATCTGTTGGCACTTAAATTCAGTTCTATGAGCTTTACTCAACCGTTTTGGAATGAAGCCAGTTGTTTGCTCCAAGTTAAAGGCTAGCAATTTTTCAAACATTGAAGGAAAGGTGAAGATATATCAGATTTTTCAAGTTTTCTGTAGAAGCAGGGGTAGTTGAGAGGTATGCTTCTGACACGTAAAGGTCCGTGAAAGATCTCATGCTTCCGACCTCTTGGGGAATTGAACCATGAATGCTATTACTACCGACTATGACTGGTTACAATAGAATGAGATTTGGATTAAATCCGAGGAATCAAATCATGGCGAGGGAATTTTATTTGTGTTTGAGACTGATGAAATAACAGTGATGTTCTCAATTATGGTGGGTGTTGTATTTAGCGACGATAATGATAAAAAATCGGACAATGATGATGCATGTGAAAGGGGTCAATGGCAGACATTAATATCAGATATTTTAGCCCCCCCCTTTTTTTTTTGGAAAAAAGAGACGACTCTAACTTTCAGGTTAACATTCGTTAGTTGCTGAAAGGAGTAACCGTAACGAAAATGAATTAAACATTCAATGACCGAATTACAAATTTTAAAAGTCTAATGACTAAAATACAAATATCCTAAAAGATTAATGATTATTTTTACAATTTACCCTTTAAATTATTATGGGATTTTTGTCTACGGTTTTTTTTGTTTTGTTTTGAAAAAATATATTAATTTGAGGTAACCACCTAGTGGCATTTGTTCAAAGTAATTTTTAATTATTTGATATTCAACGCTCTTTTGAGTCTTGATTTTCATGATGCTCGAATATGAAATCTTAACGAATAACAATAATTCTTTTATCATCGAAGGCGTTTGGTTCATATTAGTCTAAGACATGTCGCTTACCTGCAGGGACGAAATCGAAATTAAATATTGGTACGGTCTTTAAAAAAATGAAATAACTTATCAGATATTTAAAATCAAAATTTAGAAGGAAAAAATGTCTAGTTTATCTAATATTTAAACTTAAAATGATTTAAATTATTATTAGACTAAAAAATTTAAGAACATGAGATTATCCTTTTTTAGTTCACCCTTATTTAATTAAATATATAATAAATTATTATATTTTTTAAATTTTAAATAATTATTTTTAGATGAAATAAAATATTATTAAAGTAAAATTTATCAAATATATAAATTTTGTATAGGACGAGACCCCTTTAAGCCCCCACATAACTTCATACCTGCTTTACTTGGATTTCTTTGCTAAATAATGTTGGAGAGAAAAAATTAAAATTATAGGATTTTGAGAATTATTTTAAGATTTAGACTATTTGTTATACTGCAAACAAAACTTATTACGAGAAATAAATTTTTTTATAAAATATATTAAAATTTAGAATTCGTTATGAGGGCATAACGAGTTCCATTCAATTTTGTTATAATTCATATAATAAGTTCTACTTTTAATAAATTTTACGGAGCTCATTAACCTCTCATGACAAGTTTCATGTGCGCTATAATAAATAGTCTAAAACTCAAAATAATTCTCAAGCACTCTTATTTTTTTTTTTGGAAAAAACCATCCATAATATTCCCAAAATTTAAATAATTGATGAAAAAATAGGTTAATGTAATTTAATTTTTCAGTTAATATAAAATTTATATATTTTATAAATTTACTCAAATTTTCGCTTTAAAAGATAATTATCAAAATAATATTATTTAATATATTTAATATTTTAATAATATTTTAGTTTATTAAAATATTTAAAATATATCTATTAATATTTTTAACAATATAATATTCTATTATCTAATATTATAATAATATAAAATTTTATTAATAAATAATGTTATGTATTATATTTATTGTTTATAATAAATAATTTTAAAATAATAAACTAGATAGTAAAAATATTCACATAATATATTCAAACAATGTAAATAAATTTTAAAAATTATAAGAAAATGAACATACGTTTTTTTTAATATATTGGCATGTTTTTTATGTTTTGACAAACCCCCAAAGTTGGTGTGATACTAATAACTAATAATCGATAATGGCAACTCAGAGAGGCAGAGGTTTGACCGAGAGCCGTCTCTAGACAAATAAAAATTCAATCTTGACTATTACGTCTTCTAGATCAAGTTAGACGCACCACGACTCGTACAAAGTCCTTGGTGCCGGCCCATCCCCGCCATTGCTCGTTGGACTTTCAAATCACGAGAGAAGCTTCCTTTTCCCTTCCCTTCCCTTCCCTTCCCTTCAATTCCCCTTTAAAGTCAAATAAACTCAACATTAGTATATACCCCTTTTTTATTTATTTTTTCTTTCTTCATCTTTAATTACTACTGCATAGCGATCTTCTCCCAGAACCCACAATTCTTTCTTTCTTTCTTTCTTTCTTTTCTATCAGATCATAAATTGTTTTTTTGTTTAGGGAAAAAAATAGAAGCTTGATCCGATGAGTTCCTATACTCCATCATCCAGCGCTGGAGGTGTTGGATCCGCTGATTCTGCTGCTCCTAGAAGAAATTCCAAGCGACCCAAATGTAATCCCCGTTCTTTTCTTCTTACGCGCTTTGTGGTTTGACTTTGTTTCTTGTTTCTAGCTTTGATGCAATTTATTATCTAGTTTTTGATTTTCCGCTTTTATTTGTTCTTGTATTTGCACTAATTTTGATGCATGATCGTTTTTTGTTCTTGTTGTTGCTAGTTTCGTGTTTTGATTTTTTCCAAAGTTAGAATTGTAATTAGAGCTTATTGGATGTATTTAATTATTAGTCGAATCTAACTGTTCTTTTGTTCTTGTGATTTTAGATGTCAGAACTGAAGAATTATTTTTGAATTCTTTTGTTTTCACGACTCTTGATTGCAATAATAAGTTAATAACCTTTTTATTTTCTGTTTGTTTTTCAACTCAGACTCTAAGTTTACCCAGCAGGAGCTTCCAGCTTGCAAGCCAATTCTCACGCCACGATGGGTGGGTTTTTAGGGTTTTACTGATTTTGAGTCCATAAACAATGGTTATATTGCAGTTTGATGGTGATATAAGAAAACTGTTTTTGCTAATTATGGTTTTTCTTGTTATGCAGGTCATATCAGCCTTTATGCTTGTTAGCATTGTCTTCATTCCTATTGGAGTGGTTTCTCTGTTAGCTTCTCGAGATGTATGATTTTACAAGAAAAAAATAGAATCTGGCATTTTTGAGTTTTGTCTTCCTTTTTTGTATTGGTTAAGTTTTA